GCCGGGTCCAGCAAACAGGGCCAGAGGCAGGCGGCTGCCCTGGAAGCCGAGTGCATCTCCCTGCGGCTGGAAGGCAGTGAGGCCGGAGGCGCCAGAGCACCGAGTCCTCGCCCAGACCGAGATGGGAGGGTGCGGAGGCAGGCGAGGGCGGGCGCGGCTTCCATGAGCAGAAATAGAGCAACTTAGTATGGGGATGCCAGTGGGCCACCAAAATGCTGCTTATTTCAGGTAATAGTAATATTATTTTGCATTAATTTCTTATAATTAGCAAAGCAATTCTTGTATTCAAGCATAGTTCCTTACGTTAACCAAATTGGACCTCCATTTGAAAAAACCAAAAAGAGCATTCCAGGTCTGTATTCCTCCCTCCACATGAACAATCCTCTAAGTTTGCCATGCAAGTATTTTCTCATACACATAATCTGAATAAGCCAATTCAGGAGGGCTTATTTAAGGGCAGGCTGAAAACCCTTTAAAATAAATACATAAATGAGCGGTGAAACATTATGCAGTGTTTGTGTCTACTACCTCAAATGTGGCGTTACTCTTTATTTATAGAACTTCCTACACTGTTAGAGTCCTAAAGTCCTCTCACTTCCTGGCAAATAGATGGGGAAGAAATGGAGGTAGGGACAGATTTTATTTTCCTGGGCTCCAAGATCACCACAGATGGGGACTGCAGCCAAGAAACTAAAAGACGCTTGCTCCTGGGGAGGAAAGCTATGGCAAATCTAGACAGCATACTAAAAAGCAGAGACATCACCCTGCCAACAAAAGTGTGTATAGCCAAGGCTATGGTTTTCCCAGTTGCAATGAATGGCTGTGAAAGCTGGGCCATAAGGAAGGCTGAGCGCCAAAGGATTGAGGCCTTTGAATGGTGGTGCTGGCGGAGACTCCTGCGAGTCCCTTGGACCGCAAGGCGATCAAACCAGTCAGTCCTAGAGGAGATCAACTCCGACTGCTCTTTCGAAGGCCAGATCCTGAAGATGAAACTCAAATACTTTGGCCACCCACTGGGAAGGAAGGACTCCCTGGAGCAGAGCCTGATGCTGGGAATGACTGAAGGCAAAAGGAGAAGGGGACGGCAGAGGTTGAGGTGGCCAGATGGGGTCCCTGGGGCGGTGGGTGTGAGGTTTGGTGGAGTTTGGAGGATGGTGGGAGCACCTGGAAGAAAGTTTCTATGGGGTTGTGAAGAGTCAGATGCAATTTTGCGACTAAACAGCAACACTGTTAGCATCCTGCATCTGTAGAACTCTTCCGCCTGCGGCCACGTAATCTCCAGCTTGCAGTGACTTGGTGAATGAAAGCCGTTCCCGGTGTCGTCTTCAGGATGGCCCTGCTGGGCCCCGCTCTGGAGCCCCCCACCAACCACGCCCAGGAAAGCCACAGGCCAAAGGTGACAGGGGAGTGTGGCTTGGCCTCCCCCTCCTTCTCCAGCCTTTGACCTTCTCGAGCAAGACTGTCTCCTCAGCATCTCTTGCCTTCCCATGCTGGGCTCAGCCACGCTCCTCGTTCTCATCACATTTCAGAAGGCAAGGGACCTCTCAGCCTCTCTCAGGTTCATTATATTCCTCCTTCCAGCCTCTCCCATACACACGGCATTCCTGATCACTATATATAGGTGTGAAAGTGGGACAGTGAAGAAAGCGGCAGAAAGCGAGCGGCGTATCCGCGCCTGGTGCCGGAGGAGAGCTCTGCAGGCGCAGAGCGGGAGCAGGGGAAGGCTGAGCGAGGGGTCCTCGGCCAAATCAATCCACGACCCTTCCTGGAGCAAAACGGACGAAATGGGGGCTCCCCGACTTTGGGCACATGATGGGAAGGCGGGACTTGGGGAAGCTACAGCAGGAGGAAGGGAAGACCAAGGAAGACAAGGGCCGTCTCCAGCAGGAAAGCCACCATCCTGGGCGCGGAAGAGCTGAGCGAGCGGGGCTGTCATGGACGGGGCTTTCTCGAGGGCTTTCCTTGATGGGCTACTCTAAGTCGGAGACAACCTGACAGCACATCAACTGCCAGGAGCAGTTGTTTACGTGTGATATTGCCGGTGCTGAAACACGGGCCGCCCTGCGATCCATCACACGCCGCCTGAAGCCTGCATGGAGTCGGGGGAGTCAGAATTACTGCGCAGCCCACGGCCCAGAATCCCGACGGGCACATTTTCATTCTGGGAAAGAAAAGACTCTCCCGGGCAGCTGCCAGTTTACCCAGGGGCACAAACAGAGTTTTCCCGAACCAGACAGGGGGTTTCTCCAGGCCAGCATGGTGCTCGTGCAACAGTGGCCAGCGGCCCGGGGAAGCCATGCGCATGATGCGGGAGCCACATGCAGCCTGGCACATGCTCCTGAGGGGCTGGGGTTTACCCCAGAAACACCGCACAGTCTGCCTGCCCCCCCCCGCCCTGCCCTGCCCTGCCCCGCTTTGCCGCCTCCCAGAGCAGTGGCCTTCACTCCGCCTTGGGCCGCAAGTTCCGGGGATTCGCTGCAGGTGGGAAGGCCATCCCTCTGAAGTCCGTCTCCAGGTCGCAGCATTATGAGTGCCAGGAGTGGTTCTCCTCCTCGGAGTTCGCCATGCCACACATATAAACTTTTAATCATATAAACTTTTAATCCTCCCCTCCACACACCCTTTTTCTACACTAAGGAACCCAGGCCTTGGTGACCTGTGCCGGGGAGCTCCTCCGGCCCCTGCGTCATTGCACAAGCTCCGTTTCCGCACCTTCGCCTGCTCCAGGCATCCTTTCTGAGGTAGAGGGCCTGGACTTGTGCACGTGTGGTCACAGCACAGATGCAGAGAGGTGCGTCACGCCAGGGGCGGTTTTATGTTTGATTCCTTTACAACGATCTGCTGCGTGAAAGTTGCCTTTTGCACGGCGGCCCTCCTGGGGCTGGCATTCAGAAACACAGAAACTGAGTGGGTCAGAAGGGGTCTCCCGGGCCATCTAGTCTGACCCCAGGCTCTAGCCAGCTCCGCTCACGACATGCCCACCATGTGCCTGTCCAGCCTGTCCTTGAACACCCCCACCGATGGGGCATCCTCCACCTCCCGGGGAAGCCCATTCCACGCCCTCGGGGTCCCGACTGTCAGGAAGTGCTTCCTGGCATCCAAGTTGAACCTGGGCTCCCTGAGCTTTGCTCCGTTGGAGCGCATCCTGCCTTCCTCTGCAGGGGAGAACAGGTCTCCACCCACCTCCGTGTGACACCCCCTCACATACCTGCATGTCGCCAACAGATCCCCTCAGAGTTTCCTCTTCTCCTGGCAGAACAGACCCAGCTCCCGCAGAAGAGCCCGCCGGCAGGGCTGCCATCGTGCCCGGGCCAAGCCCTGGCACCGCCACACCTGGCCGGGCCGCCCTCACAACCCCCAGACGGTCGGGCTTCTCTTCTGCGTGGAATGAGGGAGCCACGAAGGACAGCAGTCTGGTAAGCTTGTGCCCAGCCAGCCAGGCACTGGGCCACATGCTCTGGTCCCAGGACCGAATGGCATCCCATGACTCTGGACACCCCCCTGGCCACCCTGCACTTCTGGGGGAGCCCAAGCCATGCCCCCCGGTGCCACAGGGTGCTCCCAAGGGCTCAGCCACCCCCACCCAGCCCAAGGCCCTGCCCCACTCTGCAGCCCTCTGCCAGCTGGCACTGAGAGGCGGTGATGGGGAGGAGGGCCAGCACCTCAGCTCCCCCGGCTGCAGTGAGCCCCCCCCCCCGCTTCACCAGGTGTGCCAGGGCTGGCTTCAGGGGCAGAGGCACCTGCCGGAATTGGTCCTCCGGTCCAGGCTCTGCGGAGCATTTCCCAGCCTTGGTACAGGCTGGAGATGCTGGTGGTGGGGAACTGACTTGTGCCTGGCCCTGTGCTCTCCCAGTGGATATGCCCCCCCCAAGTTGCTGCAGGCCCAGTGAGTTCAGGAGGGGTTCCCGTGCCTTATAGCGCCCCAGCATCACCCTCCAGCCAGGCTGTGAGTTCTGGGGGGCAGGGCCGGGCCAGACAGGGCAGGGCTGCCCTGAATCAAGGGGGACCTGGTCTGTTGGGACAAAGTGCTCTGTGATCTCCTGATCAGGAGAGTGGGCTGGACGGAACAAGGACCAGGCGGATCCACAGCTGGGTAACGAGTGGGGTCCCGCAGGGCTCAGTCTTCAGCATTTTTATTCTTGATTTGGGTGAGGAAGGGCAGGAAACAGTTATCAAATATGCAGATGACACCAAACTGGGAGGGGAAGCTAATGCCCTGGAAGACAGAAACAAGGATCAAAGTAATCTCGATAGGCTGCAGCGTGGGGCTGAGGACACCAGGATGGCATTCTGCAGGGACAAGTGCCATCCAGGAAAAGGGGCCCAAATGCACAGCTGCAGGATGGAAGACCCTTGGCTCAGCAACAGTGCAAGTGAGACGAGTCGCGGAATTGTTGCCGATCACGGGCTGCAGGTGAGCCAGCACTGCGAGGCAGCCGCAGAAAAGGGCAAGCGCTCGTTCAGGCGGCATGGATGGAACTCTCCCTTCCGGACCCGGTGGAGGCTTTGCTTCCCTTTGCTCAGCGCTGGTCAGGCCTCAGCTGGAGCACTGGATCCAGCTGTGGGCACCAGAGGTGAAGAAAGATGCAGACGAGCTGGAAGGGTCCAGAGGAGGGCAGCAAAGATGCTCCAGGGACTGGAGACAAAGCCCTGTGAGGAGAGGTGGAAGGAGCTGGGCCTGCTCAGCCTCAGGAAGAGAAGACCGAGGGGAGAGAGGCGAGCGCTTGTGA